GAACCAACTAAATATTTGTTTTTCTTCATTCTGGATAGACTCTTTAATGGAGACTGTCTAAAGGGAATTGTTAATCTGTAGACCAAAATAACTTTTTTATACAGAACAGACACTGAATTGTACTTAGTGTTTTTGTATAAAATTCAGCACGATGACCGCCAGAACACAAGACAGAATGCCATTTGTTCTCCTGGAAGATGTTCTAATAGACTCCAGAAAGGACAGCTTTAATGTCATCACCACTGCTTGTATTGGCTTCTCTGCACCCTTAAAGAGATCTCTCCTTTCACTACCTGCACTGCTCAGATTTCTGGTACTCTGTTTGCTTACAGCAATGATTGACCTATTTCCATTAGCCTGGCTAATCATTAGTTGACTCAAAACTGACACCTCTTTTTGCTCTGGTGGCTGGAGCTTTTTGTTATGGTCTGGTGATGTTTTCCTTAGTATTGTCTTCCTTTGCCGAAGCTGCTTGAAGATCTCGCCTGTGTTCTCCTGTCCTCTTTCCTATCTGTAATTAAGGTGTATCTTTTGAACAAAAGTCTTGCTTTATTGCTACGATTTTCCCGTTCTTCCTCTGCTTTAATGCATGCATTGGCAACCTGTTGAGAATGGCCTTTAAGAAGCCATAGGCCTGACAGCTGTGGCTGATCGCATGAGACTGTTATATTGTGTGGACGTTCAGCAGAGAAACAATTCTTCAGGTGCTTAAGCTCGGATGTGTTTGTACTTTCTGTATGCCATATCCTGGAGCTCTCCTGAGTAGGAAAATATACTGTTGAATATGACTTTGAGGTGGAGTATTTCCACTGAGAATTAAAGCCAGACCACAGCTCATTCCTTAATCTTGAAATTAAATTAAATTTCAAGAAGGATTTATGTGGGGTGAGGGGAGTTTAGTTTTTGAATTCGTCATGCTTTGACTTTGACTTACTCAAGCTTGTCTGAGATGCTAATAATGACCCCAGTACTGGCTGTGCTTTGGCTATCGGTAATGTCCTTTTTCTGCAGTTCACTTGCCCAGCCAGCATAAAGTCCCTCTGTTGCATTGCTAAACTAGATTTTATGTGTGTGTGTGCTGCTTGTGACCGGCATTATCACACTGCTGCAAGCCTCTCCTTTCTTATTTTTTGAACTACTAATCAGGCTGGTCTTCATTTACAGTTAATCTGAATGTATGTTTGGTGCTCTGAGCAATACTGTTGTCCAGGAACATTCTTCTTTTAAAAAACAACAACAACAACAAAACCCAACAAACTTGAGCTATGTGTTATGGGAGGGGTTTAAAAAGAACCTTTTTTTTTTGCACAGAACTGTACCTGTGCTTTGTGCAGATTGAGATTGTTTCTAATTGATTCTGAACATTTTGCAGAACTGAGATAGTTGGACGACTTGAAACTCTCGCCAGAAGTCTATCTGGCAGATCGAGGAACACCATTAGGCTGACAGCAACAAACTCGTGAGGCTCAGTCATTCTCCCCTGCGAGTGGACAGTGGTAGAAGGATGCTGGGGTTTCTTCCAGGATGTTGTCATCTGCCCTGTTTTCAGCACTGTGTTCATTTGTTTCTCTTTTTGCCAGTTGGCACCTGGCAAAACTTAAGCTCTTTTTACATCGAGTGGCATTGTGTCTCCTCCTTAGAAGGGTATTTATTTCTTCATCCATAAAGACTATCCAGTTGCAACTTATTTAACAGACAAGCTGCTGTTTTCAAGAGGCAGCTAGGAGACTGCTTCCAAGTTGGAGGCACAGAAACGGAGCTGCTTTGAGGGCTGTAACTGGGAAACTGCTGGAGTTGCTATTGTTCAGCCAGCTGCAGCACCCCTCTCCTGGTGCTCTCTGATATTCCCATGTTAGGAAGATAATCCAAATGTAATTTGAAGCTTGCCCTATAGCTAAGACACTTCTGCCCCTCCTGCTGGTGGTAGCTCTGTTAACAACTGATTCCTTGTTTATAACTTTGGCAATACCAAAATTTTACATCAGTGATTTTAAATTATTTTCATCTTTCTATGCTGAACAGTTGAGTACTGTCACATTCCCCCATCTATGCATGCAGTTGGTACCAGGAATGAGATATTTAAATTAATTTCTCAAGAATAGAATGTGTGAAGCTGCAATAGAAAAAACTATTTGGAAATAAGGTCCAGAACTATTCTTGTAGAACAGCTGTACAACTTTTTAACATAGCCCTCTTTTTTGGGGTGGGGAGGCAGGTCCTGGAAAAGCATTTGATTGAATATTAACAACTGCTTTTAGGTTCTGGTCTGTCTACTAAATAGCAAGCTGGGCTTCTGAATATGTGGCAGCATTTTATGGTTTCTGGAACTAGATCCTCTCTGACACTGGTTAGTTACTATTCTTTTAAGTAAAATGGAATTTATATCAAATCACTGCACTTCATAACCAGTGGATGCCAGCTTGGAGTCGATTGCATAGCTCTGCATTTTTGTTTGTCGTTGCTGGGGGGGCGGGGGACGAGCTCCAAAAAGGAAACTCCATAGCCCCCAGTGTTTGAGCAAATCCAATTGCTTTGACTGGATTTGTTCATGTGCAGCTGCTGTGTTCAATTGAAAGGCTGTGTCAGGAGAGATTGCCTCTGCGGACTGAGGTCCTCGGTCCTACTCTGCATGCCAACAAGGTCTAAAACCTTCTCAAGCCCACGTATCTCATCTGTGTCTACCTATATCATCTGAAAACAAACCAGTTTTCAGCTTTCCATCCTCCAGGGGCAGACAGTTCTTGTGTGAAAATAATACGTGATAAACCCCACTTCCTCTGTTACAGAAATGGAGACTTTCTGCTTGCGTTGCTGACTCTTCATGTGTCCTGTTGTTTGAGCAGCTAAGTTTTCATTCTTTGTTCTTTGTTTTTGGATTGCCCATTTTGCCATTTGCAGCTTCAGCACTGTGATACAGCTTTATTCCCATATTAGAGGACTAATTTGGAGAAACAGCATAGTTAAAGGGCCAGACTCTATCAGGGATGAAGCCTTTGTGCAGTTTATTTCCCAGTGATTTTTTCAACAGAACATATTTTAAGATCTGCTTGTTTTGGCTTAGGAGGATTCTGCTTTTCTTGACTTTATTGTTAAAAAGCTCCAGAGCCTGGCAAGCCAAAAGATTCCAGAAGAGATGGACAGTACTGCCTCTCGCCGAAGTCTGTCGGATTCCTGCTCTCTTTGACAGGTGGCCCTTGCTTGTGGTATGGCTCTGTTCGTGTACGTTACAGTGAAAGGAAAGAAGGGATATTCAGAGGGAAGAACAGGCAAGATTTGAGCAAGGAGAAGTGAGGCTGATAGGTTAGTGCCACCTGTCCTGATGCTGAGCCTGGAGAAATCCTATCTAATGTCGTTACTTGACTTAATTCCTAGAGTTAGAAGCCCAGTTCCTCATGGTTCTTGTACAGGCAGAGAAGAAATGGGCTTGCTTCACCCTTGTTTTCCCACTGATGGCAGGGAGATCCAAGGGTGAATAGGCTACTGTGCTATTCCTGAGCCTCTGCAGAGTTCTTAGTTGAATTTGGATTCTGCTTCTCTGGTACTTAGTTGCCAACTGGGGTTAAACCATGACAGTTTTGCAGACCCACGCTGTGTGTTCCTACGTGTTACAAAACACTGAAAATGCTCCTTGGTAGGAAATACTAATTTTATCTGGAGGGTTGTGTTAGCACTGGGTCAGCTTCCAGCTTTAAAATGCCTTTCAGCAATAGCTTTTCCCTGAAGTCATTATGCCTTAGCAAGTGGTTTCACGTAGTCATTGGTGTTGTTTTACAGAGTTACCTTAAATCTCAGCATGTCTTCTGTAATGAAACTGGAATTTTTGATTTGGCAGAAGTTGCACTTGGAACAGTTGTCATCAAGAAAAAAAATCCTTGGCAGAAACCATTACCAGCTGTGTCCTTAATGTCTCAGGGTAACACCTGGTTAACTAGTTCTTTGTTGGAAACTCCTTAATGTTAGCTGATACTCTCAGTTACATTAGAGATGTAGTACTCTAAAATTTTTATCTAAGTAAGTGCTGTGTTTTGAAGTTTTTCTTTAAATACTTGCCAATTCACTACAGAATGTCAGAACCCACTGCATCCTGTTCTGAAAGGGTTAATCATAATTTTCCAAACAATGTCCTACAAGATGATGGCCTTAAAGAAGCCCCTGGCATACACAGCATTCAGGTGGATTTTTATTTTTCTTTCTACCCGTGAACAGGCCAAGGGGGAAATGGACTGCAGAGAACTCAATAACTAGCTTGTTGAGTTGAGTTCTCCTTGTAGTTTATATAAATTCCAGCCAGACTTTTAATGAAACTGCTTATTACTCTGCTTTGAGAGAGGCCGGTGCGTCTTGGGTCCTGCTGTTTGATACGTTTGCTGCTGTTCACAAAAGCAGCTACTTCTGGCAACAGCTTGTAATTTAACAATATTCTTGATTACAGATGGCCACTGCACGATACCCTTTGCAGCATGAATGGAGCTGCGCATTAAGGGTAATGTCTGGTAACACAGCAGCTTGCGAATGTGTATTTTTCTCCCTTATTTTCCAGTGCATGCACATAAGTACCACTGTACTAATGGAGCAAGAAGTGCTAGTTTCGTTCTCCATCTCAGCAGTGTCTTGCCTCCCAGTATCGGGAGGGTCTAAATGCTGTTGGGATTTTGTCTGCTGTGATTAGGTCAAATATGTGTGCCATTTGTTCTCCTTCTGCTGAAGGAAATCTGCTAGATATTTTTATCCTTCAGAGGCTACGTGCTCAGTTTTGCTCTGGTGAAGCACAAGCAGGTCAGAAATAGTTATTTCTTCTGCTTAGCAGGGAGGATTTTTGCCTTGTTCTAATGGCTGGGTGTTTACCCTTCCTCAGCGTGGGTAAAGAGTCATAATCCTATTTCTTAGCTGTCTGTCACATTAATGTAGCTGCAGCCAAGGTGATGTGTGTGAAGAGGGTGGAGGGAAGGTGGAAACTGATGTGACTTCAGGTAGCTGAAAGCTGCTATTCAGATGGGGGAATGTACAAGTCTTGTGAATCCCCTGTCAGCAGGGACCCTGCTCTAAGGTAAAGCGAGCAGCTCTTTCTTCACTGCTAAAGCCTGCCTGGGTTAAAAAATGTTCCTTTCTTGCTTTGCTGTGCCCTGTTTCAGGAGTGAGCTGTTCTGTAACAAACTGAGTGTTCTGCTACCTTTTTCACCTTCACTTCCAGCAATGCTTCTTGGCCATCCTTGTTGGATTTACTACGGAGGACTAAATAGCAAACTGCATCAGTGGCAAGGAGGTAGTTACTGTGGGGAGAAAGCAAACGTATTCATCTGAAGATGCTTCCTCTCTTAAAACCTTCCAGTGCAACTTGCCCTCTTGATGGATGAGTTGCTAGTCTTATTTTCTGTGAAAACTCCTGAAGTCTGTATGGTTCGTTCATTGACGGGGTGTGGTCACTACGGTGTGACGCTTCCAGTATCTCCAGAGAAACTGCTTGGGTCTCAGTGTGAGGAACCACTTCAGGATTGTTAACAAGATCCTATTTTTTCTCAAAATGTTCTAGCTCCTCCAAGTTAGGAAAAGGTAAGGAAAAATATGTTGCCTTATTCTGGGATGACTTCATGTACAGGAGGCATAACTAGCTGATGTGAAATGAATCTTGATTTGAAAAAGCTGCTTGTTGTTTAACAGAGGCAGTGACTGACCTTGAGGGGCTGCCCTCACTTCAGGCATTTTTCTCGCCTGTTCTCACAGCTGGGTGGGTGAAAAGTCCGTCTTTAAGCTCTGTAGTTTTAATTCTGTATTTCCTGTTAACAGGGTCACCTTGTCCTCCACGGACTGTTACATCGTGCACGAGATCTACAATGGAGAGAACGCTCAGGACCAGTTTGAGTATGAGCTGGAGCAGGCGCTGGAAGCGCAGTACAAATACATAGTGATAGAGCCCACTCGCATTGGGGATGAGACGGCCCGCTGGATCACTGTCGGGAACTGCCTGCACAAGACCGCCGTGTTAGCGGGCACCACCTGTCTCTTCACCCCTCTGGCACTTCCAGTAGATTATTCTCACTACATCTCGCTGCCTGCTGGTGTGCTGAGCGTGGCTTGCTGCACCCTTTATGGTATCTCTTGGCAATTTGATCCCTGTTGCAAGTACCAAGTAGAGTACGATGCCTATAAACTTTCCCGCCTGCCCCTGCATACGCTCACCTCCTCCACTCCAGTGGTGCTGGTGAGGAAGGACGACCTGCACAGAAAGAGACTGCATAACACAATAGCACTCGCTGCCCTGGTGTACTGTGTAAAGAAGATCTATGAACTCTATGCTGTATGACTTCAGCAGGGAAGAGAGAAACCCACAAAGACAAGTGTATTAAGACTCCCACAGTAACATTTTGGTTTTCCTCTTTGAGAAGCAGTGGAGACTGGGAAGGATTTGGTTTAATAGAGCTGTTATTTTTAAAATAACACATCACTGGTGCACCAAGGTTTTTCAGTTCTTCGTTACACTTAAGATGTGAATGTGTGGTGACTTGAGAGCTGTATGTTAGGCCACGGGAGTCCAATCCAGCAGCGGAACGTCGATGAAAGAAAGCTATAGAAAGAGGGGGTGTGAGAGCTTCTTTTTTTTTTTTTTTGAAACATTTAAGTATATTGTTTAATTGTATTACACAGAACCAGCCAGAAGTTATTGTTGACCATTAAAGGATGAGAATTTCAAATGCTTTTGCTCTCTGGTTACTGTTATCATAGTTCCCTTTTATAGTGTGCTTCCAGGGGATGGAGGCTTTGCTATGAGAACTCCAGTGGTGATAATTATTTATGCATGCTCATACACAGACCTGATATTCCTCTTGTCCATTGCACATGGCAGCAGCACCCATGTTACTTCACAGCAGCCATCTGTTGAAGGAATAGCTGTGGAGTGTTGCTTTCCCTCTTGCTTGACTAGTTTTGTTTCTTGGAAGAGGGCTTACTTGTTACCCCAGTGTTTGTATCTTTTTGATAATTGCTTAAGCATTGATGGTTGGGGCTAAGGTGTCCAAATCCTCTGCTGCCCCGCCACCTCCAACTATTACTTCTCTGCACGATGGAGATAACGCTCTTAAGTTTCCAGTTACAAACACATTCTGCTCAGTTCCTGTACAAGTTCTTTCCAGTGTGGATACATCTCCACTGACATGTGTTGTAGCACATGCAGCTGAGGACTGCTGAGGTGGGAGCCCAGCTGTCTTACCTTTGTGCTTTGTTACCGCTGCTGATGCTCTGGCTGTGCCCTGACCCTATGCAATTCCACTGCTCTTGCTTGGAACATGCTTCTGGAGCTGCCTGCTACTGCTGCAAGGCATCCACGTGATTGTATCTTGTAACTGTGTTATCTGAAATTTTAGAATTCAGTCTTGTGCATTAATTCATCTTTTTAGCTCAAAACTGTCAAAATCTTGTTCTTAGAATGGCAAGTATTTACTGTTTTGCAAGATCTGCCAGTGACTTTTAAAAGATAGGGGCTTGCTTTCTTTAATCTCCTCCTACCAGATGGAAAATAGGCGTGGCTTGCATTTACAAGGCCGGCTTGGCACAGCTTCAAGTGTTAGGATCTGAATACAAGAGTAAAGCCCTGTAATAAAAGCTGCCTGCACACAGGTGTACTGCTTGCTTCAGTGGTAGTTGCAGTCTGACCTCCACAGATGAAGCACTGACCTTGGAAAGGAGTCTCATGAGGTCAGAAACCAAATTCAGTAGTTCTATCTTTATCTTTCCAAATTGCAACAGCAGGCACCAAGAACTCCCCCTCGCCTCCAGACTGCAGCAGCCTTTTCTGGCCGCGGTTCCAACTTGTGCTTTTCTGCTGATGCAGCTTTTGTGTTAGCAGGGCGTGCATCCCAGCCGTCTGCGGGCTGGGCAAACGGGGTTTGCCAGCAGTTCTGAGCGAGTGCTTTTACCACCCGCGCAGGCAGCTGTAGCTGAGCAGGCACATGGGCTGGAGGAAACTCCTGTGGCATCGAGACATTTCTAGGTGGCAACAGCCCTTTGCCTCTTCTGCTGGTACAGTGGCTGAGCTGTCTCCCTCCAAGGTTAAAAGAAGCTGGGATCCAGAGCGTCTCTATTTATAGCAACAATGTGCAGTTGCCTTGGCAGACAGGAGGGGAAGAAATGCAAGTACTTCATCTTTCTGCGGTTAGGCCAAGACGGCTGGGCTGGCTGCCTTCCGAGTCCTGGCGTTGTTTGTTCCTAAAGTCCCGTCTACTGGATGAATTTTAAACTAGTGGCAGATCTCCCATAGCTAATACGTACTTTATTGCTGCAGAAGGCCCTGAAGCATCCTTATTTTAATACTGCAGAATAATTGTCAGGGCTATTAGCTCCTTTTCTTCACCAAACCTCTGTGGTCCTGGGCATGTTTTTTGTGTTAAGCTTTCCTTTGCCTGGAATGATGACTATGGCAGAAGGACTAACCCTTGGTAGAAACGCGTGGCTTGCGTCAGACTCTGGAGTTAAAAATGAGCAAGTTTCCTCTGGTCTCTTATTGCAGGACGAAAGGTGAAAAATCAGCTTAGCTGTCACAACAGGTAGGTCTGTTTTAAAAACACACCCTTCACTCCATTCTGAGGTGGAGAGGACATAGATGGGGGCTTGTTTTCCAAGAAATATTAGTGATAATGTAGCTAAAATGCTTGGTGATATCCTGGCTATTAGTCAGTCAGTGCTGTAACGATGCAAGGTGGCCTGGGAGAATGAGAGGGGTCTCAAGGGTCGTGTGTTTCACCACATTGCATGGATGGTTGCTGTATGCAGGACTTCGGGGTCAGTCTCTGCCTCCCCCGTGCCGGTAGCCGTGGGTTACAGCGGCTGGGAACAAGCCTGTCTTTCAAAAGCCCCGCACGCTTTGCTGCCCATCCCGACTGTTACGGAGGTGCTCTGAAATGGAGTGTGCTACATTCCTCTCATCACAGAGAGGGAATTTACTGTCAAAGGGGAATGTGCCTGCTGTCAGTAACCTCTGCCTTGGAGCGGTAGTTCAAACAGTAACTACGGTAACTCCCCACGTAATTTTTTTTTCCTCAGGCCTGATGTGTCACAGCCCTCAGCACCCTGGAAGATAACACAGAAATGCAAAGCGGCCCCTTGGTCCTTCCTGGGGAGCCATGACCTGAAACACCAGAAGACGGAGCAGCTGGACAAGACTGGCGGGAGTACTGTATTTTGCCAAGAAGTGGAGGACCTGAACATGCAAAACACGAAGGGAAAAGCACAAGTAACGCTTACAGAAACTCTCCTTGTGGAGAGGGAGAGAAGGTAATGCCTTGGTTTCCTATCTTAACAGGAAAAAAGATACATACACCTGAAAGCTTCAACTTGTAACTTCAACCCTAGGCCTTTATGTAACAAATCTGCAACTTCAGCCACAGCGGAAATGGTAGAGGATGTCCCAGCTGAGCAGCGGCATTGTGATCATTAAACACGTCCTGGTCATCATCTGGGATGGATTCCCAGAGATCATTTATAAATCTGTAGTGGTCAAGAAAAGGCTTTTTGAAGGAGAAGGTCCTGCTAGGCCTGCACACCTGTATCAGTTTTAGTGTGACTAGTCCTCTGTGTGGATTCACACTATGTGTACTGTGAGCTAGCAGATGATGTAAAGAGGGCTGGAATGAAGTATGTTGTTCCGCAACTACTACTGGTAAAATAGCACCTTGCAGGAATGTAAGAAAAGAAAAACAAAACCCTCCTGCTTTCTCTTCCTCTAATGTTACCTGCTGTGAGGAGATGAAGTAGAACAAAGGATTAATTTCATAGCAATGTAATTTATTTGTCATCAGATGTGCACTCACAGGCAGGACATACAAGGCAGTACACATGGAGAATGCTGGTAAGTGCATGGAGGCGGCAGCAGGGGTCTGGACCTTGGTTCCCACTAGTAGGCTTTATTTCAGTTGTAAGTCAAAAAAAGATTATTTCTGTCCTTACTGAACCATCTCTGTGCAGCCACTCCTTTTTCCTAGTGGTGCTGGTATCCCTCACATGAGGAGAAGGGCTGAAGAATGGAATATGGCACTTCCTCAGGCTGTCAGACTCCCTGAAGCCTGTGATATGTGAACAGGCGGGTATCGCTCCCCCACTGGATGTGATCCTAATTGGCATCCGTGATTGCTTTAAAACAGATGAGAACTAAGGGTCTGTCTCTTATACTGTCCTCTCTACACACACAGATTCTCCTCTGCTTGCCAGGAGACAGTCTGCCTGGCATCTACAGAATTGCACCTACTCTGTGCTCTAGGCCTTCAGGTGGACCAGGCGCGCTGCTGCCAGCTGCGCAGTATTTACACACAACAGCATACCTGGTGGTGCTATTTTCTATCTGTTCAGTGCTTCCCCTGCATTAGGGGTTAATACTGTACTGTCGGGTAGCACAGAGTTAAATGTACATCAGTAAGGCATGATTCAGACAGATAAAATAACTGCCAAATAAAACTTAAATTTTACATCAGTTGCTTCTTTAAAAGGAGCACTAGACTTGACTTTAGCTTAACGTGTCAGATGATTTGGCGCGTTAACAAGCAGAGGCTCTGTGAAGTTTCCCACTTCAAGCAACATGTTCTAGATCAGATGGGGCGTGGGAAGGAGACACTGATCACGAGAGCTCCCAGCCGAGGACTGTATTTCACAGGGGCCACGGGGTGGGGAAAGCCAAGATCTGCTTGTGTGAAGGCAAAACAGGTGGGTTTTATTTGTAGCAGGCCAGTAAAGCTGAGCATGCCTGGAGTGAGGTGAGGTAAGGTGCTGTCTTTCAGCACATAGGCCTCCCCTGCTGCAAAGTGTGTTCCCTTCAGTTCCCCTCCCCTGCAGCCTCAGCTCTCCCCCTTTGTCCAAGCACCCTTCTTCAGGTGAGGTTTAGATGCTGTCTTCCAGCAAGTGGGCCCGACCTGATGTGGGGGAAACCGCTTCCCACTCTCCATGCAATGCTAAATTGCAGCATTTTGAGAAAGGTTTTTCCTGCAGGAGCACCTCCACTGATGTCCCAGCCAATCTGCAGGGGGTTAGCCTCTGCCTACAGTTACTGCTCGAATGAGCTGAGCTCTAAGAGTCCTTTCCTTTTCTCTCCTTTTTTGCTCTAGCTGCCATCAAGGTGAAGAAGAGCCTGGGGAAGAGGTTTCGCAGGTAGACGGCCAGGGAGGGGGTTAGGCCAGCTACAAGTACTTCCTTCTTCTTCTGTCCCACTGCATTGAGAACCACCTGAGCGACCTCTGTGGCTGTCTGTCCTTCAGCGGTGTTCTTGTCCATAACTGCCAAAGGAAAGCCGAGTAAGCACCAACGCCAGCAGGTAAGCCCACG